AATTGGGTTCAGTCGAGGGGCTGCACTCGGGTACCTGGAAAGCCTTGAGGCCACGGGCTCCCCACCGTTCTGATTCCGTTCGATTGAACTTGGCAAATTAAACATGTGTTGGTGGTGCTCACGTTGTTAGTTTTCAATTCTGGCTGGTATCCTTAATAAGTTGTTTTTGTTTTTGTTTTTTTGTTTTTTTTCTCTCTCTCTGTTTCTTCAAGAACATGTGAAATGCAGCACTAATTGAGCCGGAGAAAGACAGGAAATAATCAGCATGCCGCTGCCTTCACGTGATGACTTGCCAGCGGAGGAGTTGAAGATGCAAAGAACAATTTAAAAAAACGAGTAAAATTTTTCATTTTCAGGAGGATAGAAAATTCTTAATAAAATTAAAACGCCGCATGGCGTCAGCTGCTGTATTTCCAGCACCTCCTTACCGAAGGTGTGAAGAAGACATCGAAGGAGCAATAGAAGCATCAAAGACCCGCAGGCCCCGGCACACAGATGAAAGAACCTCAACGGCAAAGAGAAGTGACGGCCCAAAGTGATGACCAAAAACAAAGTAGCAGGAGATGGCAGCGTTCTTCTCTCGCCGCGACACTATTTCAACAGAATTAAATAGTTCAATGAAATAAAAATGCTAGTTCAGTCTAGCAGCAAAGAGGAATCGTTGATTCTCAGGGAAAGACAATGAAGTGACAGAAAGAAAGAAAAAAAACAAATAAATAAAAGCAAGAGGATGGCTTAGGTTTTGCCCAAACAGAAGCTAGAAATCTGGAAAACAGGTGTTTTTGGACGAAGGGAGAAACAAGTGTTGAGGGTGAGATCCACATTGTAGGGACTGGACGTGCAGGCGGACAGGTGTTGAGGGTGAGATCCACACTGGGGGGCTGGACGTGCAGGCGGACAGGTGTTTGGGCAGTGCTGCGTGGCGGCCACAGGGCAGCAGTGTTTCTAAGGGAGGCCAGAGAAGCTCGGGGTTTTCTGTAGGATGAGATACCGAACATCTCTGGTCATTTGGCTCCTTTTTTTGAAAGATTTTTTATTCTTTTTTTTAAAATTTGTTTTTATTTTAGCGTATTCTGGGGGTACAAGTGTTAAGGTTATGTATATTGCCCATGCCCCCTCCCCCGAGAGTCAGAGCCTCAAGCCTGACTACCCACAAACGTTGCACACCTCACTCATTGTGTTTGTATATACACATCCCCTCCTCCCCCCCCACCTGCCCAATGCCCGATAAATGTTACTCCTATATGTCCGCTGAGGTGTTGATCCATTAATCCCAATTTGCTGGTGAGTGCATGTGATGCTTGTTTTTCCATTCTTGAGATACTTCACTTAGTAGAATGTGTTCCAGCTCCACCCAGGAAAACACAAAAGGTGCTATATCACCCTTGTTTCTTAAAGCAGATTTGTTTATTCTTTGTTGGAGAAGTAGTCCTACTGTCCATGTGACTTGCGCCTGAACTCCCACCCAGGAATGGACAGGCCAGGGGGCATGGCCAAACTCGTTCCTCCAGCCCCTGGACCTTACTGTGGACAGAGGGGACGGACCCTGGCAGGATCCCACAGTGTCACTTCTGGGTGTGAGGCAGGTGCCCCTGAAGGTGTCCTCACTCTTGGTTTTCCAAGACTGTGAACCGTAAGAATATAATCTCACAGGAGGCGAGAGCTACTATCTCTGTCACTCACAGACACCCTACCCGCCGAGGATGAAACCACATGAGAAGGGAAAGTGGAGCTGAGGGGATGACAGAGAGTCCTGACAATGTCACCCGGACGTCCTACATACAACTGGGCGCGGGTGAGTCTGTATCCTCTGCAACACACAGAATTTTCCCATAACAGAGACGGAACTAAGAAATAGGGTCTGAGGGTAAGAGAGCAGTTAGAATGATGCTGTCAATCTACGTGAGACGTGCAGGGAGCCCGAACGGCAGGAGCATGACGTGAAGACAGCAGGAATCTAGAGACGCATGTCGGTATTTTCCAATGCAGCCAAAGCTCAAAAGGAGAAGGGGACCCATGCCACATCCATCCTCAGAGCAGAGCGGGACGGACACGCATCCTTCTGAGACTGATGGGGGATGGAAGGGAGGGAGGAATGTAGGTGCAAATGAAGATGCCTGTGGGTGAGGAAAGGGAAGTTCCTGCTGTATACAACAAGTGGCATTTTCCCCTGCAGACAAAGGGAAAGGATGCTGAGGGTTCTATTAATGGAAGTTTGCAGGAAAGTAAAGGTTTGTGAGAATAGGGACCCGTGACAGAGATTGCTTTAGAATGTCAGGCGTAATCGTTAGCTTTCCCTCAGTCACATTTTCAGAGGATGCAGTTCTGTGGATAACTTTCTCAACTCCTCACTAACTGTGGACAGACCATGTAGACGCAGTGATTCTTTTCCCAAGGAAGAGCCTCCACATGTAAAGAGAAAATGCGGGAGACCGCGGTGAGGAGAGGGCATTTCTGGCTTAGACGACACGTGGGAAGGTCAGAACTGCAGGCTGCAGTTAGAGACAGATTACCAATGTGCTGGCGACTGATCAATAGGAGACGGCTCTGTTTCCGGAGTGGATGTGGAACTCAGATGCTTTCCCTAGAGTCATCCTTGCTGTCAGCCCCAAACAGGTCATGTTGTCACCACACCGCGCTCATCATGGGGAGCATCTCCTTTCATTTGCCCCCTGCTAACATTTAAATAGCTGTGGCAAATCACACGGAACATGATGAACACATGTTCATTGGCCTGTGTGGTGAGCTCTAACCGAATGTTATTTTTGTGACCAAGAAAAGCTTCAGGATTAATTCACGTAGCTATAGACAGAGAAGCTGTAAAAGCACAGGACCACCCAAATTGTGGACTTGTCATTGTTCTGGAAGTTTCCAGGTATTGCGCTTCTTCCTGTTCTCCTTCCTTCCTCCCTCGGGGCTAGAAGCCACCGTGGGTTGAGGGTGCCCTGCCTTGAACTAAGAACAGGTTTCTGCGTTTCTTTTCTAGTAACGACCACCTGCTACGATATGTGATGCATATTTTATTTCAAAATATAAAGTGGAGAAACTATGCCCTGTGTTTCCATTAGCTTCCCAGGTATACTGTTCTGAGAAGTGCTATTTATATGGATTCTACCTATATATTAGATTTACAATTATACAAATGATTTACAAATATATAAATTGCATATAAATCATATATAGGTAGAATCTATGAATAGCAAATTTATATGGAAATTTTTAATGTAAAAAATTAAATATATATATATATTAGGTCATATAGAGTACTAATTAGAGTTACATGCAATCACAATGGATGTGGTGTGTCCATTCAAACTGAAAGATGACGCATGGAAGAATGCTTACATTCTAACTGCGATTTCTTGCACCCGTTAGTAGTCTTTGGGAATGAGGCTTAACTCTCCCCTCTTCATCCTGTGAACCTCATGAGTGTGTCTTAATCGGGCCGGAATTAATTCACTGCCATTTGCCCTGTTGAGGTTTCGTATTTCACTGCTGCTTTTCGATTCTGCTGAAGGCAGTAGCAAATTTAGGTCATGTGGAAAATATTAATACTATACCTCTACCATGCTTTCTTGAATAACTGCATGTAGAAGTTCAGTGAAAGGTCAGGTCTAAAAATCCAAATGCCGGGAAGTGTTCGGCAATCATCTCTACAGCCTAGTCCTCACTGTTGAATGGGATATAAATATAATCTTTTTGTAGCATTTCTTATTAAAAGTTAAGTCCCCACTCCCCTACATGTGCATAGCAAGGAGAAACCTATTTTATGCTTTATAGATAAAGGACGCCACAATTGAGTCCTCTTACTGCAGGACTTCTTAACACTGCGACCACTTTAACTCAAATGCAGAGAGTGCCAAGGTGTCCTCACTCACACGGACTCAGGACGACATCATCCCCACCCCCATTTACTGTTTGGGGCTTGGTGGACACTTTTTTTTATTATCTGCTTCATTGGCTTCATGTGCAATAACTTCTTGTTCCATTTTCTTCAGCTCCTGAAACTACTCCTACAATATGCACTTGGAAAATAAGAGCATGTTGTCTCTTCACTCAAATTCATACAGTAAAACTGAATAAAATTCTAGCACTCCAGATTAACATTCTCATTTTCACCTATGCACATACAGATCTAGCATGCTAAATATTTCAAAGAATTCAATATTTAATGAAGAAACCAGTAAGATATTTTTAAAAAACTGTTTCAAAGGAGAATTCAAAGAAAATACATATATAATGAGAGATACTAAAATGAATTTGCAAATAGATTAAAAAGTAGTCAATGTCCACAGAGCAATAATCAATTGCATCTCTTGCTGTAGAGTTACATAACACCACACTGGGTTTATCCATAACATGCTTAGATTGTCTAGTCTAGATTTGCCATGCACCTTAATCACAAAACCTCTTTCAAAAATATATCATACATAAGCATGCATTAAGAGAATTTTGAAAAGAAGAACAGGAAATTTGTTTGCATTTCAATGGTCAGGAAGGATTTGCATTGTTGTTCTTTTTCTATAAGGTGCAGAATTGAAAAATAGCTCAAAGACAATGGAAGGCACACACCTTTCATTTCGAATATTTGTGTTTGGGACTTGGAAAATTTACAAATGTAAGTCTTTTAAGGCTCATTATATTGTGTTTTCTATGTTTGCTCACATTTTGAAATCTTCCGTAATAAAAAAATAGGTTTTTAAAAATGCCAATCAATACGACATGATCAAAATATCCACAGCGGTGCACAGGTTCCACAGCTTACACCTTACACCTAGTCTTGCTGTGTGTTTTGATGTAATAAGAGCACGTTGTATCACGATGAGTCAAGCTTTCAAACATTAAAAGTATAAGTAGACTTTAAGGAAGTTGCAAACAATTGGTCCTTATTTATAAGCACTGTTTCATCTTGATTTTATTTTTATCCAATACAGAATGGTCTATATGCCCCTCTGTCAGAATGCAAGTTTTCAATCCTGTTAAGTGTGTTGTAGCCATACCTTGGTACACGGCTTTAAATCCAGGTGAACCAATACTGTCGTCAGACTGCAGATGTAACCACATCTGGTTGCTCATGCTCACGATGAGGTCAGGGACACTGGACCCTGTGAGTCTGCATGGAAGAGAAACACCAAAACTTTTACTATGGGCAACAGATCTATTGACTTTCACCTCAAGGGAGGGTCTTGCTGCTTAAACAACCAAACGATATATACAACCACCTGCTAGTGAGTAACGACCACCTGCTACGGTGTGTGGTATATATTTTATTTCAAAATATAAAGTGGAGAAACTATGCCCTGTGTTTCTATTAGCTTCCCAGCTATATTGTTATGAGAAATGCTATTTATATGGATTTATAGGAAATATATATATATATATATATATATATATATATACCTTGCAAGACCCTCCTTTCAAAGAATCTATTATATAACTACTTGTAACTTATTTTAATATTTAAATGACAATATCACTGGCAATTTCAATAGCAATCATTCTAGTCTATGACTGCAGATTTGCATCTTATATTTTAAAAGTCAAATCAGGGCAACCAACCATCCCCCTTGCCTGGAATGAAGGGGCTTCCCCAGGTGAAGGACTTACGGTGTTCACCCAAAGATAGTTCTGGAAATCATGGGCCAGTGCATCCTGTGTAACTGGGAGTCACCCTAATTGCTGTGCGACTTCATAACATCACACCATCAAAAGGAAAGCAGCCCCACAATGAGAAATTGCACTGGTTAGTTCACTAAATTCTTGGATTGTCTGGTCTGGAATTACCATGCACCTTTATCACAAAATCTCTTATAAAAATATATTACAGGTAATCGGACTTTAAGAGAATCTTGAACAGGAGAGCAGCGTGCATGGCTGAAAGAGACTGGGCAGCATTTACTGAGCTCTCCATGTGCATATCACATCCATGGCCGGGTCAGGGCGAGTGGAAGTTCCAACGAAGCGTTTGCTGTGTGTTAACAAAACAGGCACACAGGGGCTGCTGTCAGCCAGAGAAAGGAAACACTAAATCCAGTGACAACATGCTGACAGAAGAGCAAGTTGAAATAGAAAAAGTGCAAGAAAAAAAATCAATTCAACCAAAACAAATGCCCCTAATCAAATAGGAAGCCTTGTTTTCAGTGAAGCAGTTTTGGGAATACGAACACATGGTTTCCCCATCAATCCTATCACCTGTCTATCAACCCGGCATTCTCGCCATGCGAAGCACAGAACACCTGAGCCTCTGAAGGAAGATGAACAAGAGTCATTACACGTGAAGTAAACCATGCAATGTTACGCTCGAATTGAAAAAGGGGAAGTATTTCAGTGAATGATGTGTAGTAACGAAATATGTATTTCTCTCTCTGAATATTTGTCTTGGTTAGCAAGATGGTCTAATTTTGTGTGGTTGTTTTGTTGCTCGTGTGTCTGAAGAGAGATTTTTCCTTTCTCCTCTATGCATGCATGTTAGTGACCTGTAACAAACCAAAAAGTGCCCAGACCACGGATATCTTTCTCGTGGACTTTCACAGGTGCTGGCTTTGATAAAATGCAGCAGGTCCTTGAATAATGTGGTTTCCTTCAACGTTGTTTCTTTATAACATTGATGAGGTGGGGAAAATATTGATTCCCAGGAGGGGCCCCTATCTGTGTGCAGTCTGCACCTTCTCCCCATGTCTGTGTGGGTTCCCTCTGGGTCCTAGCGCTCCTTCCCATATCCTGGAGCTGTGCCCGTCAGGTGAACTGGGTCTACATGGTTCCATCGGAGTGAGCGAGAGTGTGTGTGACCCACCCTTCGATGAACCGTGCCCTGTCCTGGGCTGGCTCCCACCTTGGCCCTTACCTACCAGGACAGGCTCTGGCCACCCATGACTCTGACCCGGAATAAGTGCATCGGAAAACAAATGAATGAATGAATGAATGAATGAATACAAATTGTTACCAAATAAAAATTTGTCAAGTATACTATAATCATGCAAATAAATGCATGGCAATAAACAATATCAATGTAGCAAAATGGCACTTATACCCCATGAATATATGCAAATAAAAAATAAATGGAGAAAATTTTTAAAAAATAAACAATGCGATAGGGAAGTGCTCAGAGAGCAGCTGCATTTGTTCTTGTCTGCTTTGCAACTACCTGTGGGAGGAGGTGATCCTTAGTGTTTGCTTTGCAGACATTTGTTTCTTTATTTGACCCACCACAACCACCATCACTCACTGATTCACCAAAAATTGGGGAAATAATTATCTTCTGTAATTTTAGTAATAATTCCTCGATGTATGTATAGCTCACATTTATTTTAATGTTTAGCATTAGAAGGGTTTTGGTATTTACTTAGAAGTTTGGTGATTCTTTTGTTACCAGAAATATGCCATAGGGACTTAACTCTTATACTTATCAATACACCTAATGGTAAAATTGTTTTTTTTTTTTAATATGTTGTTTTGCTTAGAGCTGCAATTTCCAAGGACCTCTCAATGAAGTTAAGTGAGCACTTACTATACTTTAACATTCATCAGAACTCATAATTACATAATAGTAATTGCTTTCTTTAAAATAGTTCCATTTTCTTCCCAATTGAGCCTACAGTACAGTTTTGATTTAAACTTAAATAAAATTATTCAATGAAAGTCTAAATAATTTGACCTACTTGTTATAGAATTAAATAAAATTTTCTTTTGAAAAAAAAAAAGCCATAATATTACAGCTGCCTACCTTCTCCCACCCCCAAGTCAGAAAGTCCTTCACATCCAGGCGCCTTCTATTGACTTTCTTCCATTCTCCAAAAGTGTCACCAATTTCTCAGCCTCCCCGGGTTTGGCAAATCCCGAAATCCCTGGATAGAATTCCACTTCTTCCTGGAGACTAGCAAAGAGTCTTTGAAGACTCTGAGAATTCTCATTAGGCTTTTCTTAACTTCCTTTGGCAACAGGAGGACCTTTTTCTCTCTCTCAGTCCCCGGAGAATCCCGCGTACACCTCAGCGTCTGCCTCCTCCTGCACTGAGCACCCTGGAGGGCAAGTTATATTTCTTGGCCATTTTATCCCCAGTCTCTGGTGTATATAATATACACATATTTAAAATAAATCCATAAATGAAAATATAAATTAATTCACTTTAAAATTTGCTACATATTTACATGTTCAAATTTCATAGGAATACTTCCAAATAATGATTTAAATCTTTTGTATTATCTTAGGCAGGCAACCAAGGACTTGTTCTTTAACATTCTGTAAGATCTCTGTGCTTAGCTCACCCTGCGATTTTTAGCTAAACTATTTTATCTCTGTGCCGTTTCCTCAAAATGGAAAACAAGAGAATTGTATTAAACCATCTTAAAAGAAATCTTGAGACCTAAAATCCTATTCTTTTTACCATAGACACCAGTGAAGACAGTGCTGTTTGGCACTGAGTTATGTCCCTTGCTATCAATATCAATGTGGAACTACAACCGGCAGTCTTAATACTTGTGACTATGACTGCTAGTGTGTTTAATGGAAATCCAACGTGAAGGGAGTGACTTCTGCTTGTGTCTTTGTTCCTGTCTTACACCCAGGGCACTGGGCATGGACAGTGCACCCCAGCTCTTTCACGTGGAAGTGGGTCTGCGTGCACAGAAGCCGGATTGCATCCACTGATGCTGCTGCTTCACGCTGCTTTGGTGGCTGCCGAGTTCCCAGTGCACACACGGGCAAGCTCATAGTTCAGCAGATCTTCTTCTCCTTGGCCCTTGATTCATAGTTGAACGGTTCTAACCTACATGAAATATGTCTTCTATAAAGGGTTGGATAAATCCACCTGTGACTTCTTTCACTCAATGCCTGTGAGCTCCCCCAATTTGCTGTGTGTAGAGTTAGTTTGTTCTTTAGACGTTCAAGGAGGAGAATTCCTTTGCAAAAATGTAGCACACCTGTTGGGCCAATGCCCTATTGGAGCGTATTTACAATGTTACTAGTTTCTAGCAACTATGAATAGAGCTACTGTAACCATTCATGTCAGGCAAACTTTATTTCTCCAGGGTAAATACCTAGGAGTGGAATTAATTTGCTGGGTCCTATAATGAATGTGTGTTTGTCCCCATGCGATACGGACCACCTGCTTCCCAGAGTGGCTGTGCCACTTTGCACTTCCACTTGCAGTTTCAAAGGCTGCACAGAGTCTACCTCTATTTGTATGACATTCTTAAAAAGACAAAACCATATAGTTGGAGAACAGAAGTGAGTAGTTCAAGTTCAGGGTTTAGGGTGGAAAATGGTGAGGCTACAAAGGGACAGCCCACTACTTTGAGGTGAGGCAACAGTTCCATATGCTGATTTTGGTGGTGGTTACACAGATGTATAAAGGTATTAAAATTATTGATATGCACATTCAAAATGTTCTAGTGTACAGAATGGTAGTTAAGGTGGGAGGTGGAGGAGGGAAGGGGGAGGAGGGGAGGGATATATCCACACCTAATGGGTGCCGTGCACACCATCTGGGGGATGGACAGGCTTGAAGCTCTGACTCAGGTGGGGCAAAGGCAACCTATGTAACATAAACATTTTTATCCCCGTAATATGCTGAAATAAAAAAATTAAAACAAATATAAAAGGAAAAAGGAAAAGAAATAATTTGTTCAAACCTGGAGAAAAATATCTGCACTTGCCACAAACCTGTCAAAACATGAAACTGATACAATGTAGCCACTGCAGTAAGGAGCACCTGTATTCTTCAGGCAGGGCCCTGACAGGAAAGTCGTGGGCTGAACCATAGCTTTATGTACTCGTTGTAATTGTCAATCGGGAAACGGAGAAGTGAAGGCCACACCAAGGTAAAACTGGCCTAACACTGAACTACTCTGTAGTCTTTTTGGTTCTTGAATGTCCATTAATTTTATAAATTATTCAGAAAATGTAGGAGATGCATATTTAGTTGTATATTTTAAATTGACTTTTTTGCCTTAATGGGGTTGATACCGTGTGAGCTGGAGATGAATAAGGACAAATGAAGGTACGATACAATGTGTTCAGGTACTTGGGCGCCTGCAGAACCGGTTCCTCGCAAGAGTGCGGGAAGCACTGTTATGAGATTGAGGGGTGCTCTGACTCAAACCCTGGACAGACACA